ATTCTTTGTTCAGAAATATTTCAATAAAGGGGGGGCGCTAGTGAGCCAAGATGGAGTAAAGTCGGATATTTCAGAGCTCCTGCAGGCATATCAACATTTTCGGTTAAAAAACCACAACTTCTCACTAATTGTGACCTAAATTGGTTTAATAGTGACCCTGGACTATAAAGAATTCCGTTCCGGTGGACGCTACTCGATAAATGGCGGATAAACTTCGCAAATTCAAATACGACGGTAGCACGGCAAAGCTAACTGCTAACACCAGATCAACGAAGCTGCGCACTCTAGAGGACGAAAACCCGCAACCCAAGAGCCCTGGTATGTGTGAAGAGCTGAAAGCCGATATCCTAACCTCCTTACGGGGGGAAATCTCCAAAATCATAAGGGAGGAAATGAGAAGCGCTCTGTCTGAGGAGTTCACCGCTCTCAGAGCTGATCTCAATGCAGTGAGGGCCGAAATTGCTAGTAATTCCACCGCCACCCGTGCAGAAATCACCTCAATTAAATCAGACGTTGAAGATGTGAAAAGTGGACTGTCTACATGGTCTGATGAGGTGAACTCACTGCAGACTATAGTTACCGACCTTCAAAGCGAGCTGGTTAAGATACGAGACAGGTGCGAAGACATGGAGGGGAGGATGAGGCGCGGAAATATTCGTATAGTTGGGGTCGAGGAATATCCCAACTCCGCCAATCCTAAGGAGGTCTCAAAAATTATCAGAGAAGCGCTTCAGATGGACCGGGATGTAAAAGTCGATCGCTCACACCGAACAGCTGCGCTGACGAAACCGGGCGGCGGAGAAAGACCCCGTGTGATCATCGCTAAGCTGCACTATGATGGAGACGCCGCTGACATCCTGAGAAGAGCCAGGGACAAGGCCCCGCTGACCTACCAGGGTAAAAGAATCGCAATCTTCCCGGATTACACCACCAGTGTGGCCAAAGCACGCGCAGCCTTCTCTGATGCACGGAAAGTATTACGGGGGCGAAGCGATGTGCGCTTTGGATTACTTTATCCAGCAAGACTCAAAATAACATACAAAGAGGACAGTAAGGAGTTTCGAGATCCTGTGAAGGCCATGGACTACATACGGAAGACCATTCCTGCTGCAATAACTGGATCTGAAACTGCTTAAATACCAACTGTGACTGTGTTTGGTAATGTCACATTTCTAAACTGGTATGTTTAAAGGGTGTGTAACACTGTCACTTCTAACTTGGTTAAATACTATAAAGTCATAATTAGTCATAATTTAGTTACATTCATAATACCAGTAGGTTCTACACTGTGGTTAAAGTACATATATTTATTTCCCCTGCGGGAGCCTGGACTTCCACATTTTTGATCTCTCTTGTTTTTGTTGTTTTTGCACACATCCGTCTCTTTCGGTTGTGTTTGTTGCTGCTTTTATAGTGGCTAGGGTCTTAAACCCACTACTTTGCATTATGTTAGTTATGCACTTTTTTAATTGTGTTTTCTGCGTTTTGATCCCTTTGTTCCCCGAGGATCTAATTGCATTTAAAAAAACAGAGCTTCTGAATCTTAGTCTTGACAATTTTGTACAGCAAAGCCTCACTACTTTTATTTTATTGCATCATCTTGGTTTTCAGCGTTCATGTTATTCAAATGCTTGGTCCCACCAGTCAAATGGCCGTCTCTGCCTCCAATACAATACTATCACATATATATTTTAAATTAAATTAATTATGAGTACACTAACTGTAACAAGTTATAACGTGAGGGGTTTGCATAGTCCAATCAAAAGAAAAAAAGTTTTGCTGCAACTCAGACAATCAAAATGTCACGTAGCACTGTTACAAGAAACACACCTATCAGATATGGAGCATATAAAATTAAATAGGTCTTGGGCTGATAAAGTTTACTACTCGTCACATTGCTCTGGTAGAAAAAGGGGTGTTGCTATATTAATACATAGGCAAATAAATTTCACTGAAACGTTGGTACATAAAGACAAAGAGGGTAGATTTATATTGGTAAATGGGATAATTGATGGAACAGCTGTATCCTTTATAAATGTATATGCCCCTAACGAAGATGTACCAGGGTTTATTCAGTCAGTTTTCAATATGATTGCAGAATACAGTTCTGGTCTGCTGATCGTCGGAGGGGATTTTAATTGTGTAATGTCAAATCTAGATAGACAACCCCTCTCTCGGACACCCATATCTAAGATGGGTAAAATGCTTAAAAATATGTCTGTGGAAGC